AACATACTGATGATCTGGTGTCCTGTACAACCAACATCTCTTAACACGAGATCAATAAAACTATTTTCTGTACCTCCAGAGGTGAAGAAAAAAAACCTCAAAAAAATCCCCCTCACTTATGCTAAGCTATTAAGCAAATACAAAAACGTTGAAGACTTACCACTACCACTTAAACGTAAATTCTACAAACATTTACTAGCTTGATCACCTGCTCAACTCAAAACCCAATGATTTAATTTTTCTGCCCTATTTACATCTGTATTTGTAAAACAAAACTTACGATAGTCATAGTAAATCATAGTTCTCTGACAACAATTTTTGCAGTTTTTTTCATAGTACAGTTAAAGCTACAGGCAACATACAGTTACTGTTGAAACAGTTATTAGGCTGCAGACTGTTCTACTAGACTCCATCTGCCCCAGTAAACCCACTCTAAATTTCGACGCCGTATTACTTTGTCAATGCAGTTGTGTCTTGGTAACTACGTCAAAACCCTTTGGTCAAACATTCAGTAACACTACACTTCCATAATCATCTACTGTCTATGTATATTGTTAGAACAAAACTTTTTGTAGTAATACATAAATTGTTTAAAATGCTGTCAAACTACTACAAGTATTTCACTTGGGGAAAAAAAAAAAAAAAGAGTACTGGACTACAAAGTAGTGGGTGTCGCTTTTCCAGAAGCATTATTAATGGGGACTATTTTTGTCTTCAGTGATGGGGAACGACAGGCTGTAGCATTTCTTCAAGTTAAGAATAGAAAATAACTGTACTTGCAAGAATTCAATTACACTGCATTAAAGCTGCCATGGGGTTACTGTACATTTATACATCAGAAAGTCAGTAAATTATTTTTCTATAAATTAGTCTCTCAAAGTTGACTTTTTTTTTTTCCTTTCTGTTCTGAATGCCAAACTCCTGACCGCTTCTCCACCACAGAGACTTCATATCTGGATAGCCGACATCTGTAAAAACATTTCTAATGAAAACACTACTAATACAACCCCCCGGAGAAACAAATGAAATGAGATCTAAGTACGCAGCCGCCTTTCCACAGTTCTGTCTTGAACAATAGTGGGGCTAGTGCTTCCTATCCCAGACTTGACACAGGTCATGATCATTTAGGCACAGTAGTAGCAAAATAAATAATTGCATAAATATGTAATAACTGGTATAAATACTTCAGTAGCACTTAGAAGATATGATAAAGGACTTCCGTCTTTAGTTGTGCATTAAGGTTTATCTCGGTGGATGGAAGGGAGAAGCATTTAAACTGCACTGAAGAACTATGGATTGAATACTTGAAAGCTCAGTGCCAGACATAACATTGCTTCTTTTCTGCAATAGCAGTTTTGAAAGCCTATGAGTGTTAAAAGTGTTGTATAGCTGCTAAAAATGTTACAGAAACCATGGTTATAGCTTCACACTATAAACAATAGTTTAAAAAACAATATACTGGAAAGATCAATAATGTAACTATGTGTTTAAATAATCCTGATACAAAGCAAAACAGTGCTGTCTTATTTTTAAAATAATTCATCATATTTTTTTCATAATGCATTCCACTGCTTGAGTAAATAAGAATTTAGAGACATTTTTTCTGATAAACAGTCTAACAATTAACAGGGCAAAAAAGGTCCATTTCTTTGGAACAGTTCTCAAAATCTTAGCCAATGCTCCACATCAAGGTGTATAAACATATTACATCCAGATTTACTGCCTGACTTTTAAGCCTGTACTAAGTAATTTGAGGCAACTCTTTGGTAGTAAAGATCAGTAATAGCAAGTCCTCACTGCTCTGAGGATGAGTGCATACAGAGACAGGAGGGGATCTTCTGGCTGAAGATTATCACAAAAAAGAACGGTGTTTCTAAATGCCTTTGTTTTTAGATGGGCTAATGCTTTTCCTTTAAAAGACTGGATTGGACAAATACAGGATATAATCGAAGTTCCATTATCCAAAGCCAACTGCAAGTTCCGGGACTGAATTGTAAGGCAGATGAAAGCTGCAATTGATTTGGCCATAGAACAACCCCCACCATCACTCCCCGCCCCATTTACTAATTTTTATGGGTATTTGGGTTCACAGAAACATATTGGTAAGAACACTTGTTTTGAAATAATTTTGTCAACTTCCCTAGTGAAATCTAGGTGCACTGGAAACAATAGCAGGAGTCTACCAGAATGCCAAGAGGGCCTAGCTGTTACTCCTCTTCCCACGCCCTTTTCTAAGGCGCATAGAGCCAGGACTGAACCCATAAACATGGGTTTCATTTCCAGCAGTCTTTTTATGCTGGGTGAATTAAAATAAGCTTGTTATCTCATGCATCTGCTTAAAATGGCATTTCTTTTGCCATGAAGAGAGATTAAGATAAAAATTTTAAGAGATTTTTGATCAAAAAAATGGTATTTGGTCTTTCCACTGAATGGCTATAACCTTTAAAAAGGTTGAGGCAATAAAAAGGTAAATGAAACCCAACACAAAAATATTTTTTAAAAAAGTAATATTGAGCTTATCTCTGCTATAGATACCTACTACAAATACAGATTTTTTTTCTAGAGTACTTCAGACTGAAGCATATAGACAAAGTGTGCTGGAAAAAAATGAAATTGAAACATTAAGCTTAAAGTATCATTCATTTTCTCATCCTAATACAATGAACACAAAGGGTAATGACTATATAACAAAAAGGATAAGTTTTTTAGTAGTCACAAAATTCATGCTTCTCACCTTTTAAGTAGTGGTCTTTCAAATGACAAAATTGACCTGAATAGCTTCAATTATCAGGCTTATGTCTTAAAAAGTGCTGAACCTTTTATTTTACTCAAAACTTTGATTTACTATAAAGAAAACTTACCCAAATAGTTTCTTTTTAAACCCCACAGCAACATGACTGCCGTTTTCTTTATGAGCCATGGCAGAGACTCAATTAAAAATTAAAAAGTGAAATTAACTTTGAAAGTGAACTTGTCAATTTTATGGATCCAAGCACTAAAATCTGTCATATTTGTCATACCAGAAATAATAAACAAAAAAAATTTTTGTTCAAATACATAGTCGAAAAGGAAACACAAAATCCTTAATACTTAAAATCTGAATTTTATTTAATAAAGTAACACACCTGAAGAGTTATAAAATACCAGTTCAAAAAAATCACCAGTTACGAACACTTAGTCAACACAATCTTTGTGATCTTTGAGTCTAAGGCACCCTCCAGCGTTTGAAGAAAAAACTACACTTCCAGCAAGTGAGCAAGCATTTGAAGAAAAAACAGCATGAGCAAGTCTTCCTGTCAAGATAGAAGCTCCCTGATTCATTTACAATAATTGCATATGATCACACATCAGTGATATGACAAAGCCATGATGTAAAAAAAGATTGTAAAATCACTTTTTATGGATTTGTATTGGATTTATTAAAGTTATAAAGGGATCTCTTTAAGCACACTGATTTGAAAAATACAGTAGAGTCTGCAAAGTATTACAAAAGCATTTCTTACGAAGTCTGGTATTGATAAGTGATAGTTCCTCACAGAATGTGATCTCTATGTTTCTTTTCTAAAGGAGCCTAAACCAATAGTTCATTTACCAGGAGATAGGCCCATGGTAGGGAAGAAGAAAAACAATGCACCTAGAGGCAAAGCCAGATAAAATATTAAAAATAAACATTTTATAATTAATACCACACAAAACAGGAAGGCCCCATGTATACAGCCATGTCCATGGAAGTTCACTGACTTTGTGTAGAAAAAAAAAAAATAAAAGGAATTTTTGCATTGGTGTCTTTGCTCATTCCAAAAGTAACAAATCTTAAGACATTTTCAGTACGTGTCATTCAAGTAGAGAAACATTTGTGTCTACAGGACAGACAAAAATGCCTTTTGAAAGGACAGTGTTGTAAGTTAATGTTACTAGCTAGATCCACAAATATGATTTTAAGATTACTGAAATAGAATGAAGGCTGGAAACCAAAACTTTTTCAACTGTGATTATGCGCAAACTAATATTTCTTGTGGATTTCTCTTCTGGCACTTACCACCTTGAGCCTGCGCCCTGTTCATACTTACACAATCAAACAAAAATCTTACATACAATTTAAGTGGTAATAAGATAACATGCTTTGAATATATGCTAAGTAACTGCAAAGTGGTTAGGTCTTGATCAAGGAAAACATCTGTACTTAGAAAAGCTCTTGCTTTATGTATGTGTTCAGAATTTAAAGTATATAAATTCACTGAATTAGTGCTTCAAGTATCTTTCCTTATTAAGGATGGATGTAAGAATGCATGTCTATTTCTGAACTAGGTCTTTACCCTCCTGGGTTCACCCTTACAGGCCTATGTGCAAAACCGCTAGGGCAATGGGATTTTCATCCTGTACAATCAGGCTAATTACTTGATAAGTGGATTCAGTTTCACAAGGTTTGACAGTCATCCCCCTGCAACTTTGTCTCTTACTTGCTACAGAACTTGGTTATCTTAACTACAGTTGGAGAAGCAAAAATTGATTACCTTGTGATTTAGTAAAAAAGTGACATTTCGTCAGTGCTGCACTTCTGTTCAGAATTAAGAGTTCTGTCAGGGAAAACAGCTGATGCCACTTTTCCCTAGTACAGCTGAAGACATCTTTTTAAAAATTGAAAGAAACTATGACAATATTGACCAAAAATCTTAGAATGAATACTAAAAATATTACAAATAAACATTTGTGATGCAAAAAGAGGTAGAAAACATTTCAGAAGAAAGTACACAAGATAAATATATTTACATATATATACACATATGAGTATAGAAACATTTAAAAGCAGCCATCGCCCCCATAAAACTTGCAACTGTGCTTAACTTCACATGTTCCAAATATTTACATTGACTTCAAAAAGAGCTAACAATAGGGTGCAAAATTAAGCGTGACCTTCTGTATTTTGCAAAGTAGTATAGATTTATAAAAATCATTCACAGTTCAAATTTTGGCTCTTTTTAACAACTTTTTGTACGTTTTTATTTAGTGATGTTCCTTTTTGCAATAGCTTCTCTGATTTGACGATCAAGTTCACTTACAATATGGTCTTCATGATTATATACTCCTGTTCTCAACAGGGTATCCCTCTCTTCTATCAGACGAGAGAGATAATCATCCACGTTCTCATTTAATTTTCTAGAATGAAGACTATCCACTCTACCAGCAGAATTATCTCTAACATCTTGCAATTGCTTTCTCTCTTCTTCTTGTTGCTTTAGCCTGATGTTGATAAAATGGAAAGAATCAGAGGATGAGCCATATTAAAAACCGCTCCAATTATTTTCATATTAAGTCTTTAAGTTATTCACCTACTGAAGTAGTTAGTACATAAAGAAATCTATAAAAGGTAAAAAATTATCCTCTCTCTAGGGCAAAACAACTATAGGTAAAAGAAATGTTAAAGTAATACTTAAATTCTAACAACACCTTTCCTACATGCATATGTAACACTAACACTTGCTACCAAGGCTCCTATTTTGATAATGCAAACAGCACTCCAACGGAAAGGGTTCAACACACAGAACTACTGCAGACAATTTTTGGAGGGCAACAATAGATAGATTTAAAATTTTAATGTATGCAAAATATGAATAGTACATGCCTCCTTCTTAATGCAGCAGTTATCCTTAGAACTGAAGGTTTAAAACAGAAAAAAGCCTGGTGCTGCACAACTACGACCATAAAAAAACAGGGTACAGTGGCCTTAAACATAGATTTTCTATACTGCAGTACTGTTGCATTTTATAAATGTGCAATCTTTACCAAAGGGACACTAAACTGTGTTCTTTCACTGGACTAACAGTCAATTATAATCTTGATTTAACTGAATTTTCTCCTATTTTGAGGCAGAGGGCAAGAAAAAAAGAGGGGAGTGGGTTAAAAAAAAAAAATCTTACAAATGCTTTCATACCTGTTAAGTTCATTTCTGATATCCTCCAGCTCTTGTCGATCTGTTTTCCCCAGCTCTTTTTCTTCTGCTGCCAAATAGCGCAACCTCATGTGCTCCAGCTCTTGTTGCTGCTTTTTAAGGTGAGCCATTGCATTTTCTTGTTCACGCTAATGTGAGAAGGGGTGAAGACATAACTCAGTTGACTACATGATTACATGTAAAAACACTAATTATAGTGATACGACCAAAACTTCAGGAATGAAGTCATGACAATTAAGTCTCCAGCAGTATTAGAAATGCAGCAGTTAAACAGAATGTCTTAGCTGTTGAATCTATAATGCAGTAAGACCAGTCACTATCATAATTGCAGTAAACCTGTCCAGGAAGCCCAGTCACAGATATCTTCCCATTAACAAAATAGCAAAAATGTTACAAACCCTTTTACAAACTCTGGCTTAAGCTGGTAAACACAAAACTTACATTTGCAGAACTGCTCAGGATATTGAGATTTATTCCTTTGCTACACAATATTTTAACTTTTTTTGAGAAATAAAACCCAGAAAAATGCTAGATAGCTGCAGGAAACTTCCATCATCAGCCCCATAGTGCCTGGTGTCAAAGCTTCAAGAACTACTTCTTGAAATCACAATTTGTGGTTAAAAAATAAGCCTGGAAAACAAAACTCTGGTGAGGTTTCCTTTTACTTTGTCTAGGTCTATGTAAAACCTTAGATAACTTATTCTGTGGATTTAATCCAATTTATCTATCCATTCTAAAAGTTTACTTTTTTTTTAAGCTCTATACAGACATTGTAACATAACTAGGGTTTCCATTCACTACCACTTTGTGACATTGAAGTGTCTTAATGAGAAGTGTGGTGCTTTCTCCACTTGTTTTTCTCCCAGTCATTTTCCATTTGACCTTATGCACTAACCCAGTACAGTCAGTCTTACACTCTGAATGAGACAGAAGACCTGAGGTAAAATGGCATTTCTTCCTGTAGTTAAAAAATAAGGCAGGAGGTTACACAAACATCCTGGATCTAGACATATTGTGAAGTGCAAGGTTACCTTTGTAATTTTGACATTGCTTTCATCTGAAATATCTGATTGTTTAGTACAATCAGTTTTATATTTATTATAGGGGTAAAAAAAAAAAAGTTGTTTGATGTGCGCGGTCAACCTAATAATATTCGGAAGAGTCTAGTCAGGCAGTTTCCTGAATCTCAGTTCCCAGCATCTTAAGCACTCCCTATTGATGATCAATAAGTGATAAGAAAATCTGAATTTCACAAGGAATTGGTATAAACAAAAGACTAATTGTTCATGTGAACAGGCAATGCAATGGAGAACCATTTGACAAGAAATCATGGTATGTATGTAACCCCAAAATACTTTATTTTTACATTCAATCCAATATACCAGCCAGGCAAATTAAATGTTAGAACTGCAGTGAGATGGGCCAAAAAGCCTGAAGAACAACTTGTTAAAGGGATACATACTAATAATAAAACCAGATGCAGGAATCCTGCCAAAGAGTCTACAGCTGATAGATGACTGAAGTATAAAAAAGCACTTGGGGAATATAAGGTCACAGTCCTTCGTTCCCCAAAAAGAGTTTGTTGCAGAAGAACATTTCCATGTGAGAGGCAACCTTTTTTATGCAGCACAGGTTTGAAGAACATTCTCAGACTGAAGTAGAATGGGTTTTAGAACAGGAATCTACAAATACATATAGCAAATATTAAAAAGATATTAGAGCCAGCTGATATTTATCAGAAAGTTTGAGAGTTATAGGGAAATTCAAACACAAAGTCGCAAGACTAACTGGAGGTGTAATCAGTCACTAAAATTGGTGTTGATACCACAGGAATAACTATTTCCCCATTTTTAATTTTATTCTTCCTTTAAACAGAGGCCTTAGGAATATCCAGGAACTACCAGCAAGACTTACTTCCACAGCGGCGAAATTGGTTGAAACCATAACAAAAAACAAAACTAACAGAATGTATGGGTACACCAGGAAGAATGAATCCAGCTTTTGTAGAAAACCCACACTTCCAACTAGTCCTAAAAAAAACCAAACAACAACAAAACACCACACCAAAGAAACCACCTACAAGCAAACACAAAACTAAGCTGTCATGGAGAAAGTCCTCTCAGATTACTCAGGGTTTAGAAGACCAGAGAAAGGATAGCAATTGATTTTTTCCACAATAGCAAGAAACAGTGGACTCCACAAGAATCTACTCTTTGACTTCCTCATTTTTGAATATATCATTCTGGAATAAACAGTTTGCTGCAAATACAAAATTATTCTGTGAGGAAAAAGTGGATGTGAAAGAGCAGGATATTACAGGGACTAAAATGTGAATTACTTTGAAAATTTAATTGACTGAGGGCAGCTGGAGGATATTCAAAAGATATTCAAAGCCAGGTTTCTAGATCTTGCCCATCTACTGCTGACCTCTGCATAGGCTAGATTGATATTTTGCATCCGTTGGCCAGTTTGGTTTTTTCACCCAATGAAAAGCACTGGCTGAAAGCCAAAACTAGGTAAATTCCAACTAGAGATATGATTCAAATTATTATAACAATGGAAATCAATCACTTAAGTGATATACCAAACATGTGAGGAGCTTCTTCATCACAGAATGTTTTGAATTAAAATAAACATTTGTATTTAAAAAAACACTACAGATCAAGCATTACTGCTGAAGTATTTAACAAAGAAAAGACAGAGAATGGCTTTTTTTTTCCTAAAGTCTCAGTGAATATCACAATGGTATTCTCTGGTTTCCAAATATCTGGGTAGGCAATAGCACCCAGACAGTAAAGTATACAATGGGCTATGAAGAATAATAAAATTATCTTAACTATTTTGATAGTTGGACTTAAATCTTGAGTTGTCTGCTTTGCTAAATGCAGGTAGCAAGATAAAATGCTGAGCATGATCTAGTCTCAGATAGGTTGGTATAAAAACAGTACAACTAAAGTTACAGCACAAGTAAATAAATGGACAGCAAATCTGATTATCTCCATTACCCAAAATCTAAAAGTATGAAGACAGGCTAATATTTACTTCTTTTTGATACCATCGCTATTCTTGGTGCTCTCATTAGATCTTCTAAGTTAAATCCCTTTCAGAATGAAGCAAATTAAAATATTGCTGTGTTTCAGAAAAAAAAAATAACAGTTGAGATTAATACCTTGAGGCAAACATGAGACCTAAAATTTTGAGTATGTTAAATCTCCTTTGTAAAGCTCTGTTTAGCCTCAGGAGAGTTGTTGCCCTGTACATGTAGAATGAGTCTAGAAATTTCTACTTGTCTATCCCTACAGGTAAAGAATCTAATAATTCAGTCTGGTGACTAGCTACTTTTCCTGATTAGACAAGTCTACAGAAACTTCCTATACATATCCCTGTAGTAGATGCAGTACAGCCTGCATATCCAAGTTCTGGTTTTGGAATTAATTTGTCTCGTACAACCTGGTTTTCCTGTTGATGTTATCTAACAGTGCTAAGAGTCTTGGAGGCCACACAATAATTTATACAAGAACACAGTTTACAAGCAAACTGCCTCATCTGTAGGAAAAAACCCTCATTACTGTGGAGGACAGGGCTGACATCTTCTTAGATGATGTAAAAAATCTAAATCTTTACAGAAGAGAGGACTTCTAACTGCCATTATCTCCTTTTCTAGGCTTTCCACCTATGGTGATTTGTACACATGATTAGCTTTGGTCCAATGCCTTGTTGCACATGGTGAGGAAAGGATTAACTTTGGAAAAAATCTCCTTGCTCTGCAGTTCAGTTTATTCATGCTCTAATTGTTCCATTTTAAATTAGGACTACTGTCATGGGAAGCTGGGATATTAATATAAGTCTGTCAAATCTGTGTATTTCCGTAATTCTATGAGAGAATTTTCTTGAAGGTATGTTAGGCAAACATCACCTGAAAACTAAATACTGGAAAACTAATGCAAAACAGAGTAATACTTATTACTAGCAGAGCAAGACTTTAACAAGCTAGCGGAAAATGACATCCCTGCCTACTAATGAAACAGATTATGAGACATATAATACATACATTCATCAAATAGCTGTGATGACACTGAATAGAAGTCTTCTAATCCAGTCACTCAGTTTGTGGAGTGTATTACTCAGATCTATAAGGGAAGATTTTGAAAGTGTTCCTACAGTTGCAGCTTCACTGGAAACACATACCTGCATGCTGGCCATAAGAAGCATGTGGGAATATAAATTTCATGACGAGTTGATACGTTACTATTTGCGGCAGGAAAGTTCAATGATACAGAGGTTTCTGCTGTTCAGCAACATGCTCACAAGGGCAAACTCATAGCAAAAAAGGCATTTTAAACAAACTCAAAGAAAAAGTATACATTAGAAGAAGTACATATACCGAAGGTTAGTAGAAACTCAATCAGGCCAGGAAGAAGACAGAATATTCCTAATGCTTTCCTGTTGATCAGAAGGGATCTCATTTAATACCTTGGTCCTCACTGAACTAGTTTCAGAACCATAAGTTTTTCTGATTAAGAAACATCTTTAGTGATGTTTAATAAAACCAAGAAAATGACAAAAGAGAATGATGCAAAAGCTAAGGAGATATGTAGGAAAAGCAAGGCTTTCCTGAAGAATCCTTTGTTCACTCCTTGTTCCTTTTAATATTTTCCTCTGGGAAAAATGTCTATTAAAAAATTAAAAAAAAAAAATCAGTGTCACTAGTGAGCATGCTCGGTGCTCATGATAATAACCCTAGATTTGCAGGGAAGTAAGTTTGAATACAGAGAGCGCTAAATTCTCCTTTTCTCCATAGGGGAGAAAAACTCTTATCATTACATTTTGTCTCAAAGTTAATGTTGAGTAGGACTTCCTTTCAGATAAATGTGGTTAGAAATTTAATTTGATTACTATACAATTGTGATTGTAAACATGACAAATATTCAGCATTTCCTTGTTTGGGAGGGGTGAGGGAAAAGACAAGATTAATTTTAGTCCTGTAACAGTGGAAGTCAAGAATTTCTGTAGCATGCCATGTCACAACCCTGAATAATGACATTTAAGCACAATAACAGTAAATTTAAAAAATAAAACCCAACATTTTCTGTGGCAAGATTTCCCTAGCATTCTGTTTAAGACAGTGCAACTTGGAAAAAAGACATGAAAGCAAGTGATAAGGGATTTTGCAGATGCATTTATGATGGATCCTGTGTGTAATTTAAGTTACACACTTCATACTCTGTGATTTTCAAATGTCTTTTCCAACATTAGTCTTTGACTCCTTTAAAAGTCTGTCATAACAATTTGTAGGGTGCATAACAGCAAACTTGCTCTATTTATACCATTCATAGCAGAGCAACAGAAACCCATTTCCTAATAATCCATCAATACAAGAAAATGGCAAAGAATTTACAACAGTTGTTTGATAAGAAGTGAGGCATGCTGATTTCATATTAATTTATATACAATTTTGTTATGATAAGTTGAGGGACCATAAAAAGACTGTCTTTTGTTAGGATGAGAGAGAAGGAAGGATTTCTTATTCGTCACAGTGATGAAACTGGTGCCACTTTATCAGAGACATTCAGGTATGAAATCTACTTTTTCCACCACAGTTTAACAATCCATTGGGCAACAAGCATTTTTTTTTTTTTTTAAACCAGAGAAGGAACTGAACTCTACTGCATAGTAGTACTTGAAATGTAGCAGAATTTACAGTGAGATCTTCCAAAATGAAAAAACAGTATTAATAAAACACTTCTGCACATTTATGGTACTAATAAAGCAAAGTCCAGCATTTCTAAACCCACTTGTAAGATCTTCATTTTATTCTGTGTGTACTTAAAAACGCAGTTATAATTGAATACAAAGTATTTTTTAAGTGTACCCCAGGGTACACAAGTTTATACATACATACCCACATGCTTAAAATTCTCAGTCAAGATTTTCTGACATACTTTACATTTCCAGGGAAAATATGTTCCTATAATGTATCCTGAAATAAGGAACACTTCATATTTACTCCCAACTGCGTATTGCAGCCAGTCAGGCTGTTTTAAGCCTCAGTAAGAACTATTAGAATTTTTAATTTTAAACTTTTAGAATTTTGCATTTTTAAATTTCAGGTAAGGGAACACTCAGGATTCATCAGCTGCTGGACTAAAGGCAGCTTTATGGACTGAAGATGAGATGCACTAGAAACTCAGAACAGTTGGAAACTTTACTCTTCCATCAACATCTAATTATCATCAGCCACTCTCCCATAGTGAGGCAGCCACAGATGAACCAAGAGTATCATTTGCAAATTACTCTGAAAATGATTTTTGTAATGTACCCTCAGTTGGCTCAGGTACCTTCTCCTCTACTACTTCCTTAGCATTGCAAGTCACACTATTCCTTTTGCTCATTTTCTTTCCTCTCCCCCTCCCCCTATTTTACTACTTTTCTTCATTAGTTTGCATCTCTGTAACTTAGTGCTTCTTAAGACACAGAATACTGTTTTAGGAGCTTGTATGGTGGGAACTTTAATCATGTTTTGAAACTTATGGTACCACAGGAATACCAGCATTAAATAAAAATTAACTGGTAACAAAAAACCCTCAAAATTTCAATTATAATCAGATCATAAAAGAATCCCTGTATACCACCAGGTGCTCCAGTTAAGAGGCTCTTCAATCAAGGAAGCACAATCTTTATTTTGCCATAGCTGCCTATAAATCCAAAAGGGAGATGTAAACATACATACACTAGACTAAACAATGGCTAAATAGCGGCCACTATTCACTCTCCCACTCACACATACCATGCAAGTCTGTGGGAAAAACTTACGATTGAAGCTAAGGAACTCAAGTAAAGTTTTCTGAAAATAACCCAGAGCTGACAAGTCAGTAGGAGGGCCTGGATGGTTTCAAGACACAGTTTTTAACCAAGACTTGGACCTCCAACTGTTTTTTTTTTTTGTGCCTTTTTTTTTTTAAACAAAGATTTACATCCCATCCTTGGCTAAATTACTTATAAATTAATCAAATTAATTACTGAGTGGATAAGCAAGACACTGGACAAGACAGAGTGAATGTCAGCCAGCCAATACGGTCTATGTTGTTTTAAACAAATGCATCAGTACTGGTTTTAACAGCTCTGTAGGACACAAACACATTAAAAGACTTAAAAAGTATTTCTCCCAGAACACTGAATAATGAATGCACATACATTTTGAGATTTTGGTTTTTTAGATTATAACAGACACCATCAACTGCTGAAAATGACATTTCTGCCAGCTTTCATTTTTGTTCTGATACATTGTTTCTTGCACTCAGACAGCTACTGAATTTAGCATCTAAGATCTCTGTAAGCATGCATGCAATTTTGTGTAAATGGTCTGATTGCTCCCAGAAATACTGCTCACATACACAAGAACCATGGATGTCTCATTTGTGTAGCACTGAGATCTCCCAGTCAGTTTGACAGGCAGTTTTTGAAACCTCTGGAAATGATAAAATGTACCTGAGTGCATAGATACATAGCTAACTTGTTGCCATTTTTGTCTTAGTAAAGCTGAACAGGGGTGTAATAAACAAAGTATTAATACAGACTTGCACTGAATAACAAAGCAGGAAGAAAAGTCAGCTGGTGAAGTCTATTTTCATTCAGCTTTACAAACTGTTTAAATTCAACTAACTTCTGTGTTTTGTTAAGCACAGGTAAGCATGGTGTATATGCATTCTCATGTACTTCACATTTTTTTGGTTACCACTGGCACTGTGTTTAGCATTCAAAATCCTAGACATGGAGAAGTTTACAGCATTTTCTATTAACAGTCCCATACTTTAAGTTATGTAGTGCATATCTCATTCTGCAAAATATAAAACCATCACAGATGTGTGCTAAGAACTAGTTCTAAAGTAAAAGGAAACTTTTTAATTAAGGAAACATTGACTTTTATGGTTGCAAATCAGAAGAGCATTTTACTAAATGCTTAGCCTGTAGATTATGCTTCTTTAATTCACAAATTGACTGTACTAGGTCACCTTTGAGTAATGGAAATCTCTGTTTAAACATTTTTTTGGCAATGGGCACAAAGCATTAGATCTCATTTCCAAGACTTACCAGCTGGGTTTTGTCATTAACATTTATTAACAATCTAAGATATGGCTTTCAGCGTCTAATCCTCACTACACAAATGTTTTGTATAGTTCTCTAGAGAGCTTTGGTGTGACAAATTACTGGCACAGATTACAGCCCTGTAGCTATTCACCAGAGGCAATGCAAAATTAACATGGTACTAATCCAATTTAAACAAGAAATTGGTCAAACTATGCACAATTGCACAAATCATCTGAACTAAAGCAAATCTAGAATTCCTGAAGCAACAGTTTCCAAGTTTATATTTAAAACACAGTAAATGGTTTTTGATCAGCTCTGCTTCAACTTTTATTTGGCTCTTTAAAGTCACTTAAATCCTTTATCAATAGACTAAGTATAAGATGAAGCACAGGAGTACAAAAACAACAAGGAACTACTTTGAAAGGGTTTGTTCTGTAGTAGAAAAGTTGTAGGTATTCACTGTACATGCCAACTTATTTTATGGTTCAGGCTTTCAGCAAGAGGGTTAGCTGAAACCATCTACATGTTACTAAATTCAGATCATCAGTTCTACACTGATGAAGTTTATAATAAAAACCTGATAGTGATATACACTAGTGTTAATCTGGCAAGCAACAATCTCTCTTTTATACTACAGGAATTTTTAAATATGGCAGTAAGAAAAAATAGCCTGAACATTTCATGGCTACTGAAGAAATCTTAATCAGAGAGAAGATTTATATTCTTCCTTCTATCATCTTGTCAAGCATAGATGTTTCAGAAATTGGAGATGAGAATTCATGACTCCTTTTATCACTAGGCAAGAAAGGACAAATTTGAAGATGGCAGATAAAGACAAGTTTTTAATTATTAATAGTGATTACACAGCACATTCACTCTCTTCAAAGAGAAATACAAATTAAAAAAAGGTAATTACCAATTAGGAGAGGCTGGGCTTAGCTTCTTACTCTCCAAAAACTGAATACTCTAGCAGTAGGAATGAAGTAGGAACTATAATCCTTAAAAAAAAAAATGAAACACTTTTCCTCAAGCAGGAAGTAGGTGTGCATACAGGTAATAAAAACCTTTTACTAAAATTGAATTCTGAAGCTTTATGTCTGTGTCAAGGTTTGTTCAGCAACAGGGATTAAAGATTTACTAATTTGTTTGTCAAGGCCAATGGAAATGCTTGCCATTCTTAAGTATACTGTTTAGCTAATGTTTATTGTAATTCATGAAAGACAGGCAATGACAAAAAACACAGGCGTATGGATTCAGTGAGAATGAAGCTGCTACTCTTGCAAGTTTTAACAGAATATTTTAAATTCATATGTGTATGACTACTTATATATACACACACACAAGAGCTCTGTTAAAAACACAGCAGTAAAAAAGCATGCCACATGAGATCAGGATTTCCAAAAGCAGGAGAAAGAAGTTTCACTTCCAGTTCAACTTTTCTGCAAGCTTACTTCATTTTACAGCATTCAGCAAACCTTAAACTATTGTTTCTAAAAGCTAAGCTTTGTTTCTCATCTTTACTCTTCATTAATTTTACAATTAAAATACAGAACAGTTCGGACTGTAACTGACCAAGAGGGTTGGGACAGGAACAAAATATTTTCACTGGAAGTGCTGACTGAGCATTATTGGGAATGAGATTAATGAAACTTATTTTTTTAATCATGCCTCCTTTTAGCTATGCCAACCTTCCTTGCAGACCTGAGCCTTGGTCTTTCCCGAGTTCAACATCAAACTCAAATCAGTTTTGCTGTTCTCATTTTTGTAAAAAGCATAGCGCAGAGCTTTAATTTTTCAACGATAAACACTAATAAAATGAAAACTGCCAGTAGTTAACAGTAACTATTAGTAGCTTCCAACACTACATTAACTTGGTGGTCTCAAATGACAAAAGAAAACCTGCATACCTGTTTTAACCTTGCAAGTTCTTTCAAAGCCCTTGTCCATTGTTGCTTGTAGTGGAGCTTTGACTTGGTAGCTGACTCCAACTTTCTTTCAAGTTCAACCTGAAAGCAATTAAAATCATATCAGCTGAAGCAATAACAGCAGTAACAATCACTGAAAGATGTATATATACAAAGGGTCTGGTTTAAGAAAAGTGTTTATGTAGTGTAACATACAACATCATCTAAAGCTGTTATATAATATAACATAAATATTATGGCACATGAACATTTTCTTGTTTAAAATATAGCCTTATTTTTATTAGATAGCCGTCTATACAAAAAAGAAAAGATTAGTTTTTAGCACTAAATCTGCTGATGCAACCTTTAAATTTAGGATTCTCAAATTAGCAACCCTCCCCCCCTTTTTTTTTTTCAAAGGAAGATTATAAACACTAATTTAACAGAAACACTGATGGATAAATGTTGCCTTTAAAAGGTGTGTAGTTTTTTTTCTTTCCTGCAGCTGATAGAAGATATGTGCTACATTCTTTTCTCTGAAATAGACATCTGTTCAAACCATTTTTTAAAAATCTGTGTATCTAGTGTAAATCTTTGATCTTACTATCTAAATAAATCTTTAAAAAAGTTACACACTAAAAAAAATTCATTGCATTCTGTACAGAAAACTTAGTATTAAAAGGCAAATGAAAACTGTTGTAAAGCCCATAGAACACAGTAACCTGAAAAGTTAAGCCTTTTTAATTAACGAATCTGAGGCAGTGATATTTTCTTTTAATCAGACAAAAATTATTTACCATTAGATTTGTGAATCTCTTAAAGCACTGATTTTTTTTTTTTAAATCTAACAAAAATAGGAAATCTAACAAAATATTTAAGCTAAGAGTTTAAAAAGTCTGAAGAGGCAGAACAGAACTGAATCATTTGCTTGATTAGAAGTTATTCAAGCATGCAGTAACACGCAGACTGGCCATATAACTGTGAGTGCATTTTGTGCCAAGAAGCCTGGTCCAATTTTTTTCAGCATATTCAGTCAACAATTCACCTCAAATCTCACAGTAATTCTGAGCAAAAAATGCCCATATCTGTGGTTTTAATTAAGCAAAACATCCTCTACTGAAGGCACGTATAGTTTCTAAGAAAGCAATTTATGACAGTGATTCCATTCCACTGATAAGTAACAATCTCTTTTCAGAAATACTTAAAAATCCCAATGCACATAACGGAATACCAGTCTAAATTAATCCTCACAAAAAAAATCTTTATCTTTTAGTTCTATAAACAGAATGCTTGGAGTCCCTGTCATAAATCATAATGGTAGCAATTTAAATATATACGTTAGTTTTTTCCTGCTTTAGACTCTAACACTACTGCTTCCTCTATAGAAATAAGGCCCCTGTTGGCCTTATTTGTATCTGAATATTTAAAGCCTGAAAAAATTGTTGGAAAAAGTAAAAGAAAATGGACAAATCAATGAGTTTATCATGCCAGATTATTCTACACCTCCCTTATCAGTGAATGAACCATTTTGAGAGTTTTTAAAGACTAGAAAAATCCAAGATACCTTTTCTAAAGTGAGAAGATTTATTTCCGATTGTAGCTGGATTTCTGGTTTGCTACTTTGCTGTTCTTTGTATTGCTGGAATTCCTTCTCCAAAATTTTATGCTTATTTTCTGCTTCATAAAGCTACATTAAAGATATCAAGATATAATGCAAGTTAGCAGAAAAAAACATTCATAGACAAAGAACTAGGTTACAGAACTGAAGTTACTCCTTAGTCCCTGGAGCAAACATCTTACTGTCAATTATCTGATATAATACAGACACTGAAAGCTATATATTCATAATTCATGATTTCTTGATGATGGCATACAACGAGGTTTTAATTGGAAGAATTTTAAAGAGGACCTTTGTGTAGTACTGGAAAGAAAAAACAAGTCTGTCCTCATATACAGAGGATCAAGATTTATAAACATGGCTTTTCACATTTCTAAAGTGACTTACAGAAAAAACACAGAAAAAATTATTTAGATTTACACACATCTTTTAAAGAAAGCCAACAGTGTTATCTACTGTATGAAGTTTTATTACTTACTCAATTTCACCAGCATAACTTGTTTAGGAATGTCTGGAAGAAGAAACAACTAATACTTTGTACAGCCAAATAATGATTTAGAAGAAAGGCTGAAGTAGAAAGACTGCAGCGACTAATGACTTAATGCTACATATCTCTGCTCTCACTGTGTACTTCTACAGTTTCATGAAGATATTACAAGAGAGCTTTGCTTTTCATCTTAAAATGGGTAATTTGAAAAATGATGCCAATACACAATTACTTTGCAATAAAGAAACTAAGCAAGTCAAATGTTTAACAGCTTTTTTTCATAATACCATAACAAAAATATTAACTATTTTTATAAGATGTTTTCTAAGAGTAGCTTATATTCTTCTTCTGTTAAGTATTATTCAACTATAAATACCTTAATACACCTGATGGAACTGATGCAGTCCATCACAAAATATGATCCCAAATGCTGCAGTTGTATTTATGTCCAACTAATTAATGTAAGTATTTCCATAAACTGTATCCAACCGTTTAGAATACTGGATGAAAATGCTTGAGAGAATTCATTTCTTTTTCAAAGTCAACAACTTCTTCTATTAGTACATCGGTATTTTAAACCTTTGGATCTTGTAATAGAGTCACCTGTTTTTCTTCCAAAATTTTGCTTTCTGCATCTGTTATTTCTACAGAATTGATGTAAGAAAGCAAAGATGTTTCCTAAGGAGCCATGCAAAAACGTAGTTCACTGCAGTTACGTTTCACATATAGCCACAATAGCCAACTTCGACAAAACATATTGTTGTTTGCCACCCTTCCATTTTTACAGTTTTTTTTTTAAAGCAGGCATACAGACATGATGCTGATGACAGAGACAGTAACTAATTTCTTTAGCTATAAAAATGCCAGCTCTCCCTAGAACTTCTACAATACTGTTTAATTTCCTGCTTAGTTCTAAAAACTTTCAAAAATTTAATTTCTCATGAGACCTCAGGTTGTGGACTGTTAAGGAACTGCACAAATCATACAAATAAACCACAGCTTCCTTATACAGGAAGTAAGAGTGGTGTTCTTCAAGGTGGATGCTTCAAGGATCTTCTCTTGCGCACCATGGGGCTTATCTCCTAATAAGTTAGACATCTAGAGAATTCGACAATTCAAGTGTGAAAATTGTGTATTGACACATCTCCTCAAAAGGCAAGGAATAAGTCAAAGCATATTGTTTAGAACTATTATAATTTACTCCAGAACATTCCTTGTTTAAAAACAAAACAAAACACAAACAAAAACCCCACACCCAAAAAGGTAAAAAAAAAAAAAAGAGGCCCATCAGAACTGGTAGCAACAGGAACTTTCTGCTTGTGCACATTACAAAGGGAACTATCCTACAGTGAGACTCCAAGACAAACAAAACCCACCCCACCCCCAGCAAAGCAAACCAAAAAAAGTTTGTCTTATGCAGAATATGCGGTAACAGCCACCTCATACTGAAACACAAGAGAGATTCAACATAGCATGAACAGCACAGAGAAAGACAGCCAGGATGATCAGCTGGAAGGAACAGCCTTCATACAAAGCAAGACAAAACATAGCAGGGCTTGTGTTTGGAAGAGAGACAGTATGACAGACACTTAAGCAATCAGGAATGGTATGTAGCACAGGCACTAAAGTATTCTTCATATTTATTAAGCAACGAGCTTAAAACGAACAAAAAGATGTTTTTAAATATGCAACACATAATTAAATTTTAGAATTCACTGCCACAGGATGTTGCAATGCTACAAATAGAAATACTTTTTAAAAGGGATCAGACGAGTTCACGAAGAATACTTTCACTGATGGATAGTAAATATCAAATGCTGCCTCAAGATGAGGGTACATGTAACTCTTGATGGTGTTGCTGGATATACCAAAATTGTATTTTCTCATTGTCCCATTTCTTATTTTCTTGTCCTCTAAATCCAACCATTGCTGCAACAGAATGCTGAGCTAACTGGATCTTTCTTCTGATACAGTATATCTGTTCTGAATAGCAAAAATAAAGTGATTGTGATGGTATGGTAACCTAGCTAAAAAAAAGCCAGCGAGAGTCAAAAGAATGAATTTGGAAGATGACTCCTAGGTGGTAGCATTTGGCCGCTTGAGCCTGAAGAACTATTGGCTGTCTTGTCTGGACTGGTACAGCATTGGTAACTGCCAACAACACATCTATCACTTTGAAGTGGACTGCACTCTGCAGTTTGAAACTGCTCATCTCAATTCAATGATTGTTCAGTAGAATAGCCACGATTAGCACCTTCTAGATGAGCAACATTTTTTACACTAGCTATACTTAAAAAGTTCATTGTAATGTGGTTAACATATGCTGATGTGAAAAGAAGTAGGTTAATATCAGTGTTTAATATTAAACTGAAAAAACCACAAAAACTCAGCACAACTTTTCCTAATACAAAAATATGTCTTTGGCTTATATAGTTCTTCAATTAGTCAAAGCTATTGTGGGATTATCACTGTCACATATCAGAAATAAAAAGCACCAAAGCAAGGAATTCATCTACATAAATTAAGTACTTTGAGAAACACTTATGCATTACTAAGATTTAATCTACTTAACAACAAATTAAGTGTCTAGTATTGTAACTGCTCAAAAAAGCTAGTACTAACTTTTAAAATTTTACAGTATGGTTTAACAGCCAAGAAAAGTAGCTAGACTAGCCTTCTCATTAGTGCAAAAGCTAGCTTACAGGACAAAAGAATGTGGTCTAAATTTTCTCGGTTTAATGAAACTACTACTTTCAGAATAGAAGATCACAATATCAGGATAACTCCCCCCCCCCCCCCGCCCC